ATCATCAGATGCTTCGAAGCATGGAGACCAGAAGTCGAGGGCACAGCAATGCCAGTCCAAGTTTTGTCAGATCACAAGAGTCTTGAATACTTCATGACAACAAAGAAGCTTACTCGAAGGCAAGCTCGATGGGCTGAGTTTCTGTCAAGGTTTAACTTTCAAATTATATATCGACCTGGGAAACAGAACGGACAAGCAGATGCATTAACTCGAAGACCAGGAGATAGACCAGAAGGGAACGAAGAAGATGACCGCCAAAAACAACAACTTCAAACCCTGCTACCACTCAAGAGACTCCATCCAGACCTCCAAGAGATAAGGAAATTTGAAGATGCTAAGGTGAATCAAGACATCCAACTCGCGCCAGTCCACCTACAGGAAGCAAGTATTCTAGACAAAATCCAAACTGCACAACTTCAAGACAGCTTATGCAAAGACACTATTCAGAAGCTTCAGAATGGAGAACGAAACAGTCCAGACATAGCTCTAGCATATTGCGAGGTGAAGGAAGGGCTCTTATATTATCATAATAGAGTCTGGGTTCCAGAAAGTGCTCATGTCGAACTCTTACAAGAAATTCATGACCAACCAGCAATGGGACACCCTGCATTGGGAAGATGATTTGGGTCATCAAAAGACAGTATTACTGGCCCCGGATGGATAAGACAATTATACAATATATCAAGAACTGCCATATCTGCAAAAGATCAAAACCTACAAGAGATGCTTATAATGGACTTCTTCAACCAATCCCTGTTGGCAGCCAGCTGTGGCAGGACATATCACTTGACTTTATTACAGGATTGCCATTGTGTGAAGGAAACAATGCTATCCTTGTCGTAGCATGCCGACTTACAAAAGAATGCCATTTTATCCCATGCTTTGCAGGCCAAGAAGGCACAACTGCAGAAGCAACAGCACAGCTACTCCTTCGACATGTATGGAAACACCATGGTTTACCAAATTCGATCATCTCAGACAGAGGCCCCCAGTTCGTGGCTGCAGTGTGGAAAATCCTCTGCAAAGTTTGGAAAAGTTATAACAAAATTGTCTACGCAAACTGAGAGGTTCAATGCAGAACTTGAACGATATTTACGAGCTCATGTTAACTATCTCCAAGACAACTGGGTCGAATATCTTTGCATGGCAGAATTTGCAGCAAATGCTCTACCTTCAGACTCTACAAAAATCAGCCCATTCTTTGCAAATAAGGGCTTCGAGCCAAGAATGAGTTTTGATATTAAGAACAGCGAGTTCCAAATAGCGCCACAGGAACACAAGGATATGATACAAAGCATGAAAGTTATTTGGGAGTTTCTGCAAGACCAAATCGCACTCTCGCAAACTCGCATGGAGACATTCGCAAATCAACGCAGGAAAGCTGCACCAAGATATCAGGTTGGAGATCAAGTATGGCTATCTACACGAAATATCAGGACTCAGAGGCCATCGAAGAAACTTGATCACAAGCAAGTTGGTCCGTATAAGATTCTCGAACGAATTGGGCAAGTGGCATATCGATTAGAGCTACCACCAAGCATGAAGATACATCCTGTCTTTCACAGCAACCTCTTACGACTTGACTCAGATGATGCTTTACAAGGCCAGCACCATGAACCACCCGTGCCAATCGTTATAGAAGATGAACTTGAATGGGAAGTTGAAGAAATCCTAGATTCTAAATTCCTACGGAAGAAGCTGTTCTATATGGCAGCATGGAAGAACCACCCACCAGACAACACTTGGTTTCCTGCTACAAACTTCAACAATGCACCTGAACTCACACAAGCTTTCCACCGAAAATACCCACAGAAGCCACAATGATCTTACTCTTGATCAGGAGATCAATCTTAGTAGGGGGGGGGGGTAGTGTTACGATTATAGCTTACGGTTGTTACGGTTGTACGGTTGTTACGGTTGTTACGGTTGTTACAGGTGCAGCCTTAGCCACCAAGGCTACAACTGCTAAGCAGACAACTGTATATTACGATGAATAGCCTCACCTTCCTTCCTTCTTCTTCTTCTTCTCTCTTTAGATTCAACCTAGCTTATTATTCTCTGGACTGGCTTCTTGACCTCCGTGACCATCGTAACAGCACCCATCTTACTGCCAAACGACGTAAAGCTCCTGCTTGGCCAGAGCTCGAGGCTGCTCTTTTCAAGTGGCAAAAGCACATTGAAGAAAAAGGAGGGATAACAACCGGGGATATACTGCAAGAGAAGGCGAAACAAATCTGGCAGTTGTTACCACAATACACGGATAAGCCTATACCTAATTTTAGTATAGGTTGGCTCGAAATTTTAAGAAACAACATCAGAGCAATAACCACATTAGACACGGCGAAGCAGGTTCAGTTCCTACAACAGCAGAAGACGAGATGAAGGCAATTCAAACACTAGCAGGAGATTTCAAAGAGGAAGATATATATAACATGGATGAAACAGGGCTTTACTGGAGGATGACACCATCAAGGGGACTCTCATCACAAGGAAGGCTCGGATTGAAGAAAGACAAGGCACACATTACTGTTGCAGTTTGTACCAATGCTACAGGTTCAGACTGATTCTGACCTTGGTTTATTGGCAATGCAAAGGTGCCACACGCCTTACGACGAGTTAATGTTTCAACAATGGGAGGAGAGTGGAGATGGAACAAGAAAGCATGGATGAATCAATATATCATGGCGGAGTGGTTACAGGCCTTTTACCTCCATATAGGAAGTTCTAGATCTATACTCCTTACCATGGACAACTTCTCTGCACACATTGCAGCTATTAAAGATAATCCTCCTCCTCTGAACATACGGATTATTTGGCTACCTCCAAACCTGACAAGTCGATTCCAACCACTCGACCAGGGCATTATAGTTTCTCTAAAAGCTCATTACTGTCGACAATGGCTTGAATTCATGCTTACATCATTTGAGAACAACACCAACCCTCTTGATCTTATGTCTCTTCACTTTGCACTTCGCTGGCTAATTCGCGCTTGGTATCACGATGTTACGAATACAACTATCTATAACTGTTTCCGCAAAAGCACTATAGTTGTTCAACCGTTACAGCTGCCTCTTGAACCTCTCCCTACGCTAAGCAACCTATACAATCAAGTTAACAATGCTGGGCATATTCGCGACGCTATGGACCTTGCAAACTTCTTAAATCCAGCTGATGAATCAGTACAAGAGGAGGCAAGTAATAGTGATGATATATTACAAGATGTTGTATCACAATATATTCAGGATACTCAAGATGATGAAGACGGAGAGCAACCTGAACAGCCAATATACTCTATAGAAGCTGCTCAACAGGCTTTGCAAGTTCTGATTAGGTATACTGAGTCTAAAGATGGGGTTGATACAGCATATTTACGCTCATTTGAGCGATTTGAACCGCTCAGCTGTCACAGGGCACATTGGACCAGTGGATGATGTAATAGCTTGGCAAATTTGATATCTCGGTTTTCTTGATAAGTCTATATATTTTAGCTGCCTACAATGTATCGACTTAGCGCGACTTGACTGTACTTGCCTTAAAACTCTACTTAGTTGCTACGGGTGGTTACGGACGTTTACTAGGTTTGGATTTCGTCCGTAATATGTTTACGGGTTTAAACACATGACCACTTACGGCAGGCAGACTCGCAGTAGGCGCCGGTGCACAATACTTGTTGTATTATTCTATACTACAACCCAGCAATTCTATAGTAGTTTCTATAATTGCACCTCAATATACCATGTAGAGCCATCAAGAGTCAACACAGTAAGCACAGAGTCCGAAACAAACCTCTCCAACCCATCCCATCCGCACCCTTCTAGTAAACAGACTCCACAAACACCCAGCCTCACTCCAGCGGCATCACCCGGCGGCAGAAAGCGCAAAATTAATTTCCGGCCAGACGGCATCGCACCACCCAATGGCGCTACCCCCTCATCCCTCTACCCCATCCCCATCATCATCCCCAAGGCTCATCATCGTCGCACAAGCCATTCCCAAGTCCAAACACCCCAAACCCACCACCCCTTGCACCACCACCCCATCAACTCCCTCCTCACCAATCACACCCCACCAATCACCAATCACCCCCCACCCCTGCAACCCACCAATCCTATTTTTACCCTCCCCCATCCCCACCTCTTCCCTGCACGAGCGTAGCCATGCCCGCCTCCAGCCGCGTATATGCACCTACCCGTATATGCACCTACCCGCCCCCTCGCGCTCGCTTCTTCCAGCAACCATGCGCGTGCGTGGACCTGCGTGTATCTGCGCGAGTTGGATGTTTGGAACCAATCAATACTCCGAGACAGATTCAGAACCATAGGCACACGCACACACACGCTATCGCGCGCCGCAGCCGTGTAAGCGCCGGGCGCCTTGGGACGAGTTGTGATTCGCGAGGTCCAGGGGTCGGTGTCTACGCCGCTGCACGTCGTGTGAGATGGCGTTTTTTAGTAGCGCGCGTCGTTCGCTGGGTTTCTTGACATGCTCGGTTTCGGAGGGGAAAACAAACTGTCCTCCACTACACAGCGAAAGCGCGCGCCGCGCGAGGTGCTAAGTTCTAAGTTTAGGTCTCACTGTCCCGCCCTCCTCCTCACTCTTCCCAACTCCCAACTCCCCCACCCCTGCTCGCATCTCACACCATTCCCGTCCTCACGGCGCGGCGTCGGCCCTCTGCTTTTCATGCGTGCGGCCAGGTATCTAGCCAGGCAACCGTGCAAGGCACGCGAGTGGAGAAATATTGTAGATTCTCCCGCTCCCCAACACCTCTGATACCACACCGGCGAAGTACAGATCCCCGAGGAGGATTCCCGGGTGGCTGAAGGGGGTTTAGAAGGGGGCCCGCTGCGGGATGTGCTTACACCCGGTTCTGGGCGTGCGGAGCGGAACAGGCTGGTGCCGTTTTGGGTGCGTGTTGGTGCAGGGGGGCTGGGTGGGGAGGAGGACGGGGAGGGAAAGGGGAGGGGAGGGGAGGGGAGGCATAAATTAAGGTGTGTGGGGTGCGCTGTTGGTGGTGGGTGAGGTGATTTGTTGGTTCGGTCCGCTGAAGGATTTGGGGGATGGGCTGCATGTCCACTTTCTTGCAGTCTGATGGGGTGTCGTGCTTCACGATGAGATATTCCCTCGTGACGGATAGAGGTCGTGGAGGAAGCTGGGCGAGAGTAGGCAGTGGAGATGGCACGAATGGGATTTGAGACCGAGATTCATGATACGAACGTTTATGTTCATTTGATCTTTATCTGTATGCGATTGATTTCATTCCATTTCCTTGCAAGCAGCAACAACGCCTTGAAGCCGGAGCTTGATATGCCCAGTATGCTCACTTTCCCATCCCATCCCAGTATGCTCACTATGATGCCCACCACATGCCACACTCCCGTTGCCCTTCAAGCCCCTCCTCTATACGATCTCTACCCCTCTTAGATATCTCCATCAAACCCACTCCCTACGTCCTCACCAACCCCTTCGCAAGCAGCAAATTCTCCTGGGAAAAGATTCTCTGCCAAATCTCCAACCATCTCGCCAGACCCTCAGGCATGGGCTTCCCTGGATTTTTGAAGCTGCGCGTCATGATCTCGCGCAGGCGCATGCGTAGCGTCCGGAGCACAACCATGGTCTTCCAGTCCGAGACGGCGAAGCGCGCGCGGTTGCCATCGAGGATTAGAACGCCGGCGTAGAAGTCGCAGCGTACGTCGCCACAGAGGAGGGCGATGGCGAAGTCGGTTACGGCGGTGGTTTCGTGCGCGTTGTAGAATCTAAAGTATGGGTTAGTATGGAGTGTGGTAATGAGTAGACGACGGGAACTTACTGCTTGGCTTGCATGATGTGGTAATAGGAGAGCCAGTTGATCTCATGATGGCCTTTGTTGACGGATGTGGGATGCAGGGATATGGATTGGTTGTTGGCGACGTTGCGGAAGCCCTTGCCATCGCGAACGAGTAGCTTCGGGTACAGCGCCCAGGCGATGACGGATTGGGTAATCAGGTCGTTCTCGCTGTTTACATTGGCGCGCTGCGGGAGCTCGAAGAAATCGTGGCGTCGGCTCGAGTATCTGTTTCGCTTGATATGCGCGCGTTCGCGTTCCGTCAGGGGCAGGAACCCAGAGTCGACGAGGGAGACTGTCAGTTGGCCCTTAAGATCTTCGATGTTGGATAGGGTTTGGGGGCTCAGGAAGTTCTTGCGGCAGAACTGGTACTCGGATCCGGTCGTGTTGCACACGCGCTTCCAGGCTAGGTATGCGTTGTAGTTTGTCAGCAGGTCGCTGTCACCACGGCGGAAGGCGAGCCTGACTGTGTCTGCTTGTTGGCGTGCGCCGAATGGAGCCTGGAATGGCGACTTGGAAGATAGGATTGCTGCGACGGTGATTGTTGCATCAAGGCACTTGAATATACTTCCTAGCAGGATTAACTTGCCCAGGAATACATCGAGAGGTAGACGCGACAGCTGTATTCCCAGAGGTGTGAGCCCTTCGGCAGCGGTGAGTGCTCTAACATCAATGAGTGCGTCGACAGCTCTTCGGATATTCTTTGCCGACGGGGGATCAAGGGCCTGACCCAGCGTCTCCTCGATGCCTCCCAGCTTGCAGGTCTTGACTCGTATAGCCAAGTCTTGGAGCGACAGCCGTAGTAGCTCTGGAGTTTGCTGATCAGACATGAGCTCATCGTGCCTGTACTTCGTAAACAGGTGGAAGCATAGTCCTTCCTGTACACGTCCAGCTCTTCCTCGTCGCTGCTTCGCGTTGGCTCGTGAAATAAACGTCTCCAGCAGTCTCGAGAGTTGTCGCCGCTCATCGAACCTCATCTCTCGGTGCTTTCCGGTGTCTATTACGCAGGTAACGTCCGGGATTGTGATACCTGTTTCGGCAATGTTCGTGGCTAGCACTATCTTCCGAGTTCCAGGAGGAGGCACCAAAAACGCCGCTTCTTGGTCTTCACTCGCGATGGATGAATGCAGCGGGTATACATACCAGTCCGTTCGGAAAGTGGGCAGCCCAAGAAGTATGTCATTCAACTGGCGAATTTCCCCAATACCTGGTAGGAATACCAAAATAGCCTTGCTGAAGGGAACATACCGCTCATCGGTAGCGATCTTGGCTATGAGTTGTGCCACCAACTCAAAATCAATCCGGTACTCATCCATTTGGAGGATAGTGTTCCGGGTCTTGGCGCTATAACCACGCAGCAGCTTCGTATTATCTGCCTTCGTCTTTTCGCTTGTTGGTGCATCCTCCAATTCGGCATCGTCGTCCAAGTCGGTATATCTCTTATTTTGTGAGCCATTATCCAAAGAATAACCGGTAAGCTCCACGGCATCCTCGAGGTAGCATGAAGTAACTGGGAAGGTCCTTCCGGGGACTTGCAGTACCGGGGCGCCGTCCAGATACTTTGAAAACCTCTCGGCATCGACAGTAGCAGACATCAGGACAACCTTGAGGTCTGGTCTCCGAGCCATCAGCTTCCGGAGGATTATTAGCAAAAAGTCGCTGTCAATAGTTCTCTCGTGCACCTCATCCAAAACTATGTGTGTGATTTCTTTGAGATCGTTGGAACTTTCCAACATGCGCATAACAATTCCAGTGGTGGCGTATACAACGCGAGTCTCTCGAGATGTGTTGGTTTCAAGACGGATTGCATATCCGATTAATGACCTGGGCGTCCCGACATCCCCTTTACGTTCCCCAAGCTCCTCGCTCACGCGCTTCGCAAGAGAAATTGCAGAAATTCTGCGTGGTTCTGTGCAATACAGCTTGCACGGCTTTCCTTGTGATAGCTGGTGTTCTAGAATAAAAGCCGGCACCTGGGTGCTCTTACCACAACCCGTTTCTCCACAAATAATGACTACTTGCTCCCGATCAATTGTACGAAGAACTTCCTCCTTGTAGCCCCACATAGGCAACTGCATGCGAGACTGCCGCATTGTCTGGTATGAGGGCGTGTTGCTCTTGTCATGCCATATCTTCTTGAGAGTCTCGGGGGAGACACTAGAGCTACCTGGTGTCTCCGTCCCAGACTCATCGCTGGTATCATTGGGAGTTAATAAGGCACGGCGTCTAAAGCTAGTCGTCAGCACGACACCATCTTCCTCTTCCCGATCCCTCTTCTGCCTGATAGTATCCCGAAAGCCGCGAATGGCTTCTCTATCGAGCGCATCTGCCTTTTCTTTCCTTGCAACAGCAAACTCCGTCCATAGCTCACGCCATACCGGAGGGAGCCGCAGGAACACTTTTTCTTCTCTCACTGAAGTGCTGAATATGAGAAACAGCGCTACGGTTGCGGCGTAAGATTCTGATTGGGCCGCATCAGGAGTGGAGATGCTGGTCATTGTAATTGTGATTGATTTTGGTGAACATATGCAATCAATCTCGGGAAAATCCGAAGTTGGTGACGGGACTTCTTGAGCCTTGGACCAATTTACCCTGACGGAATGGCGGTTGGAATAGCTAGTTTTAGAGACAAGCGTGTAAACTATCTTCACGGAAGAATCTCTAGAACGGCAAGCTTCTTCTAATACCCTTCTAGGACTTATGCCTATCGACTTTCCAAAATCTCTGAGGGTGATCTTGCCGCCATTGGTATCGTTGATAACCACAGTGCTCTTCCCGGTGACTGGGTCAACTTCAGTAACGGGAAGATTTGCAAACAGGTCGGCAATGGCACCATCGTCATCGCTTGAATCATCTTCGAGTAGGTCTGCTCCCATTTTTGCAGCTGCGCGCATAATCTCATCATCAGAGTCATCATCACTAGACTCAGCAGGGTGTGGGATCCTCGGGGGAGGGCCACCAGACAATTCCTGCCTTTTCGCCGCAGCTTCTTTCTCGAGGGTAATCTTCCGCTTTTGCCACTCCTGTTCAGCCTCGTATTGATCAAAAAGAACGTCGGATTCAATTTTCACAAGTTTCCTATGTAGCTTTGCCATCTCTGGGTCTTGGGGCGCTTGGGTACCCTTGTTTCTCTTGCCATTGCTGGCCCCTGCTCCACGCTGGGCTGCACCCCGTGCCGAGTTTTTCGGGGGTTGTAGATGGAATAGTTTCGTCTTTGCTTCTAGATATTCTGGGAGTAGTTCGTCCGCATCTATATCGCTCTCGTACTCGACAACTGCGGCCTTTGCGGGTCGCGCGGCCACTTTTGTAACGGGTTGCTCTGCAATGCTGTCTTTCGAGTCTACGTGGCGTATATCTGCTTTTATCTGCCGTGGTGTGGTCATTCCTGACACCGTAGGTGTGCCGGCTTGAGAGTCTGATTGTCGGTCGGTTAGCTAACTGATCCAAAGATACGCTTCGCCCACTATGAGGACCTACCCATTTGTAACTTTAGCTGCAACAGGGATTTTGTTTGCCAATTCTCATAGTCCGGCAACTCATCTCGGGAGCATTCACGTGCCATCCACTGCAAAGATTCCTCAAGACCCCAGATTGAATCTTTATTTCCGCTGACCATCTTATCGGATATGCTTAGAATGTATGTGAGAGCCATGCGGACTCTGTCGTCTGGGAAGCCTGCACCGGCCAGAGCTTGCTGTAGGGTCCATAATTTTATGGTTAGATCCTCCTCTGTGAGCGGCTTCAACGTTGCAGGGGAGTCTGTTGTGCTCGGGCCCAAGGCTCGATGATCCGCTGTAACTATATCCAATATCTCGTCCATTAAATCTGGAGGGAGCCATTTTCGTGTATTCAAAAAGTCGGCTTGGCCTCGTAGTAGGCGCCGATCTGTCTGGAGCCTGGTTACCTGGCGGGCAGCATCCCGTTTAGCTTTTTGCGAGTACTTTTCGACCAGCACTTGAAGTTCCGATTCTTCGAGTTGTTTCTCGAATTGCTCGGGGGTTAGCTGCGTATCTGTATTTCCGGTTGTTGTGGACTTTGGCAAGCTTTCCGTCGTTGTCTCATCCTTCCGTTGCTCTGATTCATTGTCTGGGCTTTCGTCTGAAGGTGTGGTTTCAGCAACTTCAATTCTCACCTTCGATGCCACCGAGGTCGTAGCAAAGCCACGGGCAGGGTTTGATGCTGGCTTCTTTTTCTTTTTGCCTCCCGCCATAGTATTATAATTTTGTCGGCGTTCTATTGAAAAAAATGGCGGGGGTCACCACCGCGTAAATAAAGTTGAATGACGCGGGGGTGCCTAAGACCTTAGTAACTTAGTAACTTCGGGTGAACTTTAATCCTTCGTTCAGCGTCCCTGGCGACCAAAACTTCCATGTCCGGTGAGAACTATCTCGCCTCAGTAATCCGCTCCATTGCCGTAAAATTGCAAGATGGTAGGGGCAGATCTGAAAGATGTAAGGGGAATGGACCTCGAGGCCAGCAGAAAGGCGCTCTCCTCCTCCTCAACGGCGACCCGCACAGCATATCTTCACAGTATTGATGAACGACTCTCAAACAAAGGTGCGTGGCAGGATGAACCTATTCAGTGAGCATGCTAACCTCTATTCTCTGTAGAAATCGAGCAGTCATCGTATCCAACTCTACTGGAACTTATTTTTACCACATATTCCTTTTACCAAGACCGAAGCTCTAGACGCCACGTTGAACAATGTCTGAGGACAGTATTTCGAGCAGGCGCAAGCCCAGACATTCTCTCTCCCTTCATCAAATCTTTACATACCGAGGCATCGAAAACCAACATAGCAGCTATCAACGCGTTTGTTTTAACTGAATGGTTCAGCATCCTTATTCAGGAGTGCAGTGGGACACCTTATTGGGCGATCTGGGGGCAGGAACTAGTTGCAAGTGACGCAAAGGTTCTAGAACAGTGCCAAAAGACAACTACAAAACCCAATATTAGGCACTCTGCTTTCGTTGTGACTAGAAGGGCGCTTCGAAAGGTTGTTTCTTGCCAGGATTCGGCAGAGGCTTCGATTAGTGATGCGATTGAAGGACTGAGTGCGAAAGCTGCCCAGCCCAGCGCAAGAAATGCCATCATGCTGGGCGTCATCGCTGGGGTCTGTTCGAGAAAACCAGAAGCAAAAGGCACTCTTGAAAGAAAGAAGGAAAATTACTACAACTTCTACACAAGAGAGATTATTGGATCTCGGACGCCAGTGCCGGCCCATATTGCAAATGGACTTTATGATTTCTTCTTGGATTTCACTAGTGCAGAGGAATTGGCGAAGCACGTAGCACCATCCCTAGAAAAAGCCTTGCTCAGGGCCCCCGAGATTGTCCTGGATGATCTCATTACGCCGTTGGTGGAATCGCTACCTAAGAGCATCGACCTTTCAAAGATTTTGCAGGGGAACCTCTTGAAACCATTACTATCAAACCTTAAATCGACAAACGCAATCATTCGAAACGGCGCGCATAGCGCTTTTCGAGTCACCATACCTCGTTGCCACGACGATTCTGCGCTCAGCGTTATCACAAACGAGATTCTGCTTCCCTTAAAGTCTGGGAAGCTTCCGGCTGCGGATCATCGGATCCTGCATTCGGAAATTCTGAAGGTTTTGCCGATAACCGAAAGCTTGGTAGAAAAGGTCTTGCCGGCAGTCTCTGCGGTTGCCGCAAAGGAACCCAACGAAGGAGCGTTGAGCGCAGAGACATCGGTTCTGTCCCTTTACACATCATGGTCACTGACCAATGGGACACCACTTCCCAAGGTGGTCCTAGAAGCATTCAGCAAAGGCTTATCAGAAAAGAAAGCGCCACTACGAAAGCTGTGGACGCTTCGACTGGGTGATATTTTGTGGGCACAAGGGGATTCTGACCTTGAAAATAAGAATGTTATAGAGCTCGCTGAAGCCACCATCCCAAGCTTGGTTCAACTCTTCGATGAGGTTGCCTCAAACCCCATTGCTGCTGGCCAATCCGGCGTTGTTGTTGGTGGTTATGTTTTGATAGCTCTAGCAGCAGCCAAACTCCCTTCTTTGAGAAGTTCGAAGGTTAACGAAGCCATCAAAAAAGCAAAGGTTATTCAACAAGCTCTGGCATTTGAACCTAAACCTTCATTCTTACTCAATCATCGAGTTTACAGTAAATTAACTAATGATGAGGATCGTCTCTGGCTTATTCGTGCCCTCTCGGCTACAGCTGATGAAGCCTCTACATCCGGTCCGAATTCTGCGACAGCCATCGCGTGGTCACAGGGGGTAATATCCTGTATTTGCTCAGCAAACGTTCCGCCTGCTGTGAGACGACAATGCATAGAGGTGTTATCGAAAACCTACGCACGACTCCCCCAAGAAACTTCACCAATGATTGTCTCTGGCCTATGGCATTGGGTTCGCGACATCGAAGTTGGAGAGAAGGACTGCGCCGCAGCAGCCTCTAAGTCCGACAAGGCCAATCTCCACTTCATCGCAAAGGCCATATGTCTTTCCGCTGCAGATGCATCGAAATTTGGCTTCGAGATAGACCAGTCCGTAAAGGAGAACCAAATGGTAAAGATGTTGGTTATTGCTCGTCCCGAACTTCTTCCTGGCGTTCAGTGGATTGAGCTTTGCCTCAGAGTTGGTGTGGACCCCGGACATCTCTGTAGACAGTATAACGATGCTATTATTGAGCAAGTTTTGGAAATTACAGATTTCAAAGAGGTATGTTCAGCCTCTATCCAATTGTACGCCACTAACTTTTTTGCAGACTGCAGACCAAACCCAGTACACTATCAAAAGTGCAGCTTTCAATGCCGCGGCAGAACTTGCCTTTGTGGCGCCTGACGTTATGACTTCCCGAATAGTTGATCTATTTCAACACGATCTCGATCCTAAACAGTTGGATGATATTGGTCCTACAGAAGCCGCAATATTCCGAACTCCTGAAGGCACTTTATTTGTTGACGTACTGGCTAAAAATTCACAGGACTACGTGCCTAACAAGAATACAAAAGACTACGACACGATGAAGTGGGAGGCAGAGTTGCGCACCCAGCTAGCTCAGAAGAAGGGCCAGCAGAAAAAATTGACTCCAGAAGAAAACGCAAAGATCAATGCACAGCTGAAGAAGGAAACCGCGATACGCTTACAAGTTCGGCAATTGGAAGCTCAGCTAGTGCGCGGAATTGGCATTATCAAAAGTCTTGCTGTTGGCCCCCCAACTGAAGCTCAACTGTGGATGAGCCCAGCTGTCACCTCTCTGATCAACATCATCAATGCTGGAGCAGGCCTTGTTACAGGCAATGCAGCTGCCGAGGCATATAGGCTTCTATCGGAGAGGGTGGTCACCCGCATCGGACCGATTCGTCCATTCATCGGAATTGCAACCCTAAGAGCGTTGGGAATCCCCCACCTACCCAAAGAGCTTACCCAAGAGTCCCTAGGGGAGCTCATCACCAGAGTTCTGTATCGATTACGGTTCTCTGGCGAGCAGAGGCCTTTCGATACGGTTTCTTTGACGTACATGTTACCTCTGATATTCCTTGTGTTGCGCAATGGTGGTTTTGGTACGCAGGAAGATTCTGAAGCGCAAGTAGTACTTGCGATCGATTTTCTCAAGTTCCACACCGATGCGTGCTCCGATATTATAGTGCCACGTCGCGAGGTTCTCTCAGTGCTTATTGGATCGATGCAAGCCTATAACCAGCACTACAAGGCTATCAAGGAGTGCCTGGCTGACCTTTGTCGCTCGGTTGCCCCCACTATCAACGAGGATGAAATTGCAACTCTTGTCCGAGGAGCTATCGTGCCTCAGACATCGGTCCGAACGTCAGTTTTGCAATCTATCAGCGCCGAAATCGACCTCAGCGACCTAGAATTCTCAGAGGAGATTTGGCTTGCGTGCCACGACGATATTGAGGGCAACGTTGAGCTCGCGCACGAAATTTGGGTAGAGAGCGGCTTTGAGGTTTCGAGTGATGCCGTCTTCACGATCCTACCATATCTCGAAAGAGAAGACAAGCAGCTTCGCCGAGCAGCCGCTCGAGCTCTTGCCGCGGCAGTAAAGCTGCACCCCGGATTAATTACAGAGATCCTCTCGCGCCTTGAATCCTCGTACGTAGAGCTAGCCAAACCAAAAGTGCCGCAGCTCGATGAATATGGGATGCCTAGAAAGATGGATATGAGAGATCCTTGGGAAGCTAGAAATGGCATCGCACTGGCCTTCAGAGAGTTATCTGTCGTCTTCAGGGAGGAATTACTGGATTCGTTCTTGAAATTTCTCATTGAGCGCGGACCACTCGGTGACAAGAGTCCTCATGTCCGAGAAGAAATGATCGAGGCCGCGAGAGCCATCATTGCATTGCATGCGAAAAACAAGGTCGAAGACCTGATGAAGACTTTTGAACAAACTCTTGAAGGGCCAGATAAAGGCTCGGATTTCAGCGACAGAGTGAACGAAGCCGTCATTATCCTGTATGGCGCACTCGCGAGGCACCTGAATCCGGGGGATTCTCGCATTCCGAAGGTTGTAGCAAGACTTCTTGCGACTCTGAGCACCCCCTCTGAGACGGTTCAATACGCCGTTGCTCTCTGCCTTCCAGATCTTGTCCGGGCCTCCCCCGGCGAGATTCCAGACTACACGCAAAAGGTCATGGACCAGTTACTCAATGGTAGTAGCTATGCTTCACGCCGTGGTGCTGCGTATGGTCTCGCAGGGTTAATCCAGGGTACCGGTATCGTTGCTCTCAGAGAGTATCGCATAATGCTCACCCTCAGGAGTGCCATCGATAACAAGAAAGATGTCAAGCACCGTGAAGGGGCACTGCTGGCTTATGAGCTTCTCTCGACTATCTTGGGTCGTATTTTTGAGCCATATGTCATTCAGATTGTACCCCAGTTGCTCTCCAGCTTTGGAGATTCTAGTGCGGACATTCGAGACGGGTGTCTTGCTGCGGCAAAGACATGTTTCGCTAGTTTAAGCTCATACGGTGTCAAAAAGATCCTTCCTACACTTTTGGATGGTCTTGATGACCAGCAGTGGAGAAGCAAGAAAGGTGCCTGCGACCTTCTCGGTGCCATGGCCTACCTCGATCCTCAGCAGCTTGCCCAAAGCTTGCCAAAGATTATCCCCCCGCTTACCGGTGTTCTAAATGACAGTCACAAAGAAGTGCGTCTGGCTGCCAATCGCAGTTTGAAGCGCTTTGGAGAAGTCATCAGCAACCCCGAGATTAAGGGTCTTGTGGACATACTCCTAAAGGCTTTGAGCGATCCGACAAAGTACACGGATGATGCACTTGACGCGCTGATCAAGGTTTCCTTCGTCCATTATCTTGATGCACCTTCTCTCGCACTTGTTGTTCGTATTCTGGAGAGAGGTTTGGGCGATCGATCCGGAACAAAGAGAAAGTCAGCACAGGTTATTGGAAGTCTTGCACACCTGACAGAGCGTAAAGATCTCATATCTCATCTTCCGATCTTGGTTGCTGGTCTAAAGATTGCTGCGGTAGACCCCGTACCCACCACGAGGGCTACAGCGTCCAAGGCTCTCGGTTCACTCATCGAGAAGCTGGGAGAAGATGCACTTCCAGATCTTATTCCAGGGCTCATGCAAACCCTCAAAGCCGATACTGGAGCAGGCGACCGCCTTGGATCGGCACAAGCTCTCAGCGAAGTCCTCGCAGGCCTTGGCACGAGCCGCCTCGAAGAGACACTACCCACGATCTTACAAAATGTCTCGTCATCGAAAGCATCTGTTCGCGAAGGTTTCATGTCTCTTTTCATATTCTTGCCTGTTTGCTTTGGCAACAGTTTCGCAAATTACCTCAGCAAGATCATTCCTCCTATTCTTACTGGCCTTGCCGATGAGGTTGAATCGATCCGCGATACATCTCTCAGAGCTGCCCGACTCCTTGTCAAGAATTTCGCTACCAAAGCCATCGATCTCCTCCTTCCGGAGCTTGAGCGTGGCTTGGGAGACGATAGCTACAGAATCCGTCTCAGTTCCGTCGAGCTGGTTGGGGATCTTCTTTTCAACCTAACTGGCATCAGTTCCACGGACGAGGATGAGGTTGAAGAGGGCGCCAAGGAAGCCGGAGCATCTCTGTTGGAGATCCTCGGCGAAGAGAAGCGAAACAAGGTTCTCTCTGAGTTATATATCTGCCGCTGCGATACTGCCGGCCAGGTTAGAACTGCAGCCGTCAACGTGTGGAAGGCTCTTGTTGCCAGTCCTAGGGTTCTTAAGGACTTGGTTCCTACACTCAGCCAGCTTATTATTCAACGCCTTGGATCCACAAACGCTGAACAGAAACTCATTGCTGGCAACGCCCTGGGTGAACTCATCCGTAAGGCTGGTGATGGGGTGCTCTCCACCTTGCTACCTACTCTCGAGGAAGGCCTGCGGACTTCTACAGATGTTGACGCCAGACAAGGCATTTGCATTGCTCTTCGCGAGCTTATTTCATCTGCGTCCGAAGATGGATTAGAGGACCATGAGAAAACACTGATATCTGTTGTTCGCGTTGCTCTTATTGATTCGGATGAAGAGGTTAGAGAAGCCGCAGCTGATGCATTCGACTCTATGCAGAACATGTTTGGCAAGCGTGCCGTGGACCAAGTCTTGCCATATCTCCTCAACCTTCTCAGAACAGAGGGCAAGGCCGATAATGCACTGTCTGCACTTCTAACTTTACTGACGGAGACCACTCGCTCCAACATCATTCTCCCAAACCTTCTCCCAACCCTCACTGCCTCGCCAATCAACGCATTCAATGCAAGGGCCCTGGCTTCGCTATCAACTGTAGCCGGAGGGGCTATGACAAGGCGCCTGTCAACCGTTATCAACGCACTGGTGGACAATATTATAGTGTGCAAGGACGAGGAGCTTCGCGCAGATCTCGAGTCATCGCTAGACACTGTGCTCCTTTCCATCGATGAGTACGATGGTCTCAATACAACCATGAGCATTATGTTTGGCCTTGTCAAGCATGACGACCACCGAAAGCGCGCAGCCGCCGGATATCGCCTTGCCAACTTCTTTGCAAATACCGACGTCGATTACAGCCGTTACAACCAGGATATCGTCAGGAACCTGTTGATTTCGTTCGATGATACCGATCTGGAAGTGACCAAGGGTGCATGGAGTGCCCTGAACGAATTCACCAAGCAGGTGAGCAAGGTCGAAATGGAAGCTTTGGTCCACTCCACCAGACAAGCTCTTCAACGAGTTGGCGTACCAGGATCCGACCTGCCAGGGTTCTCGTTGCCAAAGGGAATCAATGCCATCCTCCCAATATTCTTGCAGGGTCTCATGAATGGCACGTCTGACCAGAAGACGCAGTCCGCGTTAGCCATCTCCGATATACTCGACAGAACTAACCCCGAGTCTCTCAAACCATTCGTCACGGCCATCACTGGACCTCTCATTCGAATCGTATCAGAAAAATCGACTGATGTGAGAGCTGCTATTCTCCTAACCTTGAACAATCTGCTTGAGAAGATTCCAGCTTTCTTGAAACCTTTCCTTCCTCAGTTACAGAGGACGTTTGCCAAATCCCTCGCGGACACGTCTAGCGAAGTTCTGAGGACTCGAGCTGCGAAGGCGCTTGGAACTTTGATCACCCTGACTCCTCGGATTGATCCTCTAGTGGCAGAGTTGGTGGCAGGATGCAAGACCTCTGATATCGGTGTCAGGAACGCCATGTTGAAAGCCTTGTATGAGGTTGTCAGCAAGGCCGGAAGCAACATGAGCGAGGCCTCGCGCTCTGCGGTGCTAGGTTTGATTGACACCGATGTCGAGGACAAGGATGCCACCATGGTAATAACAAACGCAAAGCTATTTGGTGCACTGATCAAGAATGTATCGGAGGACAACGCCACAAGCCTAATTAAGAACCGCGCCATGACGACTCACTTTACCCACGCTTCTATTTTGGCCCTCAACTCCGTTCTACTGCAGGCACCTCAATCATTAATGGAGTCATCATTCGCTGAGGGTTTGCCGTCTGTGATCTGCAAAGGCATAGCTAGTAAAGACGTGAGTATTCCTAGTCTATATCAGAGAATATTACTAACTTAATTAGCCCTTCATTTCCGACAACTCTGTGTTAGCAGCCGGAAAATACATCTTGACGAAAAGCCCAAAATCTTTTGAGGCCAGGAAGCTGATTTTCGAAACACTGGCTACTTACATCCCAGCGGGGAACCCAGCAGATACGCGAAGGCTAGCTTTGGTTGTCGTCCGCACCGCTTGCCGGCACCACATGGAGCATGTAAAGCCACACCTCGCGGTATTAGCTGCACCAATTTTTGCCAGTGTCCGAGACACTATCATCCCAATCAAGCTATCAGCTGAAGCGGCCTTCATGGCACTCTTTGATGTAGTTGATGAGGAAGGAAAGGTCTTTGATAAGTTCATTGCGAGTCAAACGCAGATGACGCCGGTCTCAAAGAGAGCTATGCAAGACTACTTCAAGCGTGTTGCATTACGTTTGGGTGCCCAGGCCAGGGAAAGGAGGGATGCTGAGGGTGGCCAGGGCGGTCTTGGCCTATCCAACGATGAAGTCGACGACGAACGCGAAATATGGAGCGTAGGCAAGGTTGATCTTGGAGAGGGGACTTCAAGTGATGACTGATGTATCTGAAATATTCAATTCTGTAAGGCATGGCGCTCTTGATATTAGGCGCAGGCCAGAAGAGTAGGATACGGTTCACAGTGGTAGATTCACCAGAAATAAAAATGTATATATGAGCATAGCCAATGTTGTCTTACCATGAATTCGTGATTCTCCCTTTCCGTAGTGATTTATAAACAGATATGCATTAATAACTATAAAAATACACTGGTCGCCTCATACATTATTCCTGTCACGATTGACAAAGTCGTTGGTCGCGTGGGTTGATCCTCGGGGGTCCTTTCAATCCCTTATCTTATCTTATCAATGGCAAGGGCTAACCCTCCACTTCTCTCACATTTCGGTGGTTAATCCCCGAAGAAGTTTAGCGTTTTGCCACAAGCGAAAGCCGCCATCTTTGAATTCCATTCCGACAAAGTACAGAGACGAGGTCGAGAGAATTCACGACAACCATCGACAACCAACGGAATCCATCAGGAAAGACAAGATGTACGTTGTGCGAAAATACTTCTGGACGGCATACCTTGAGATACCCTATCCGAAGACGTTAGTTACGATCGAGTGGGAGCACCCACGATTGATGGAGTCATCGATATGGAGGTCCCACTCGTCAAAACTATTCACGACGGAGTCGACCACGACACTTGGGGAAATCTGTCCAGCAGAGGCTTCTGATTAGCATTAACTAACGGATTATCTTTAGGGTTAACCTTCGTACCCAGAAGCGCCTCGCGGCGGCCGTTGTGGGATGCGGACAGCGCAAGATCTGGCTCGACCCGAATGAAGTCTCCGAGATCTCCAACGCCAACTCCCGTCAGACCATCCGCAAGCTCGTCGCTGATGGTCTCATCATCCGCAAGCCAGTCACCATGCACTCGAGGGCACGCGCGAGAGACCACACCGATGCTAAGAGACTCGGTAGACACAAGGGCTTCGGTAAGCGTAAGGGTACCGCAGATGCTCGTATGCCAAGGTATGCCACACAACTCCGGCTATGCGCTTTAGGGGGCGAGAGACTATGGAATAGGCACTGACAACCACCACAGCCAAGTCGTTTGGATGCGCAGACTCCGCGTTCTCCGCCGCCTCCTCGTCAAGTACCGTGCCAGCGGCAAGATCGACAAGCACCTTTACCACGAGCTTTACCACCTGAGCAAGGGTAACACCTTCAAGCACAAGCGCGCCCTGGTTGAGCACGTACGTTCCACCTCGACACAATTTGCAACATCTGAGCTAACAATGCGCAGATCCACAAGGCCAAGGCTGAGGCCGCCCGTGAGAGGACTATCAAGGAGGAGATGGACGGCCGTCGTGCCAAGACCAGGGCTGCTCGCGAGCGCAAGCAAGAGAGAGTTGTCGCCAAGCGTGCTGCCATGTTCGGTGATGAGGAGGAGACCGAGACCAAATAAGCATTGCAACTTTTTACGGGGTAGCTGGAGCGGGGCAATGGTCTTGCAATTAAAAGGCTTGGTTGCTTTTCGTTATCAGGGCTTTCAGCATGTACTGCATGGACAATGGTGTCATGAACTCTTTCAAAGCGTGAAAGCCTTCTTCTGTTCGTGGTGACAACAGGAGATACTGATCTCCCTCGTGTGGCCGACCCCTTCCAATGCCCATGGATATACCGTGTTTCTGTTTACTGACCGTGAAGGACCAAAGCAACTCTTTTCAGGTGAGCGCAGCGCCATGCTTTCACCGTGACCAACTTCCCTCGTTTGACAGCGAGTTTTATTCGGATCTTCAACATCCAACCATTGCATCCAGCCACATTCTCAGCCATGATCAAACGCAACTTTCAAGTTGTTTCTCAGTACCTATTTCTATTTGTCTTCATTTTTCTTTGTTCCACAGTCCACAACTGTGTTCCCCAAATCAGGCATTAGTGTGTACAGCATTTCGAGCTCTCAATGCTCCTCTGCTGAAGGATAACTATCTTTCGTGCCAAGATCTACCACCAAACCCTTTCCTTACCAAACACCTGCTCCCTATTTCTCTCTGGGAAACTGGTGCATGAAGAAGGGGTTACATATCACCTATTATACTGTCTATTTGGACGTGTAATAGTTTTGTGGGCATTTCGAGGGTTTCTACTTGCAGAGGTATGCATATATTTTCTGTTTACTATGATATTATACATCATCGCCCATACAATGATGACAAATGGTCAAGAGACCAGATATATAACCCAGCTCGTTGAGGCACAAATTGCCCTATGAAATAAGAAACATGTTCTGATACAACAACAACAATTATTCTACATTATTATAACTCAGCAGACCCGTTCCGTTGCTAACGTTGACTGCAGCCGGTTCACGTCACTGTGACATCTACAAAATCTGCGAGACAAAGTCTTCTCGAGGGTACGTTTATATATTTTCTATTCAAGCTTCCCCCATACAATGATGACAAATGGTCCAGAGACCAGATATATAACCCAGCTCGTCGAAGCACAATATACGTGCATTGTGAGATAAGAAACATGTTCTGATATTTATTTAACTTCTTCTTTTGAATCAAACATATATTATGGCTCATCATACTAACTTGGTATCAAGGTTTTCTCTCTACGACTTAAATATTGTTCTTGGGGTTATAGCTAGACAGTATAAATGAAGAATTATTACACTTATGATTGTTTGACCGCGTGAAATTCATATTCGTGTTCCATAAGCACACTTGCAACTAATAATCTAGGAAGCTAACTATATCCCATGATCCACATGCAACGTAAAGACCAGATTGTGTACGAACGAAGTAGGTATTCTACAACCACTTGACGCCAAAACCGCCCATTTATCTGCCGGGCCACTAAGCAGTGGAGTCCCATGGCAGAGCAAACGTACCAACCCATTCCTCAACCTCACTACGTAGCTGTACAATCTCCGTCTGGCCATCGCCCTCACCGACGAACTCCAAGAAAGCCTTGACGCTACCAGGGTTCTTCCTCCCCTTCTCAGTCTGCGCCTCAAGGGCCTCCTTGTCCAGTCTCTGGGTAATCGTGACGGCGCGGTTGACAATGTCTGCCACGCGAGAGAAGTCCTCGGGTGTGAAGCCACGGGTCGTCATTGCTGGCGTACCCATGCGCAGTCCACCGGGCTTCAGAGCGGACTTGTCACCTGGCACGGTGTTCTTGTTGGAGGCAACACCGACGAGCTCGAGGATGCGCTCGACACGGGCACCATCAACACCTTGTGGCTTCAGGTCGATAAGGACAAGATGGTTGTCAGTACCGCCAGAGACGATGGTGTAGCCGAGACCGCCCTTGTCCTTGGAGTCACCAAGGCGCCTGGCCAAAGCCTGTGCGTTTACGAGGACGTTCTCCTGGTATGCCTTGAACTCTGGGCTTTGGGCCTGCTTCAATGCAACGGCAAGAGCAGTGATTGTGTGGTTGTGGGGGCCACCTTGGTGACCTGGGAAGACGGAGGAGTTGATCTTGTCCTCAAGGTCGTACATAACCTCCTTCTTGGTCTTGGGGTCAACCTTGCGGACTCCCTTGCGGTAGAAGATCATGGCGCCTCTTGGGCCACGTAGAGACTTGTGGGTCGTCGTGGTAACAACGTCGGAGAAGGGGAATGGCGAGGGGATAACGCCAGCGGCAACAAGTCCGGAGATGTGAGCCATGTCACTGAAGAGATAGGCCCCGGCCTTGTCGGCGACCTCGCGGAAACGCTTGTAGTCAAGGAGTCTGGAGTAGGCCGATGTACCGGCAACAATCAGCTTCGGCCTATATAGCATAGCCAGCTCTTCCAGCTTCTCGTAATCAATCAATCCGGTCTCCTCATTGAGACGGTATGGGAGCGTCTCGAAATACTTGGAGATGGCCGAGATCTTCTTTGTAGGTGTTTGGTAGCCGTGTGATAAGTGACCACCGTGAGGCAAGTCGAGGCCCATCAAGCGATCATGGACATCAAGGACAGCCGAATAGGCGTAGAGGTTGGCGGGCGAGCCGGAGAGTGGCTGGACATTGACGCCCCATTCGGCGGGGTCCAGGCCAAATGTCTCCAAGGCTCTCTTCTGGCAAAGCACTTCCGCCTGGTCGATGAACTCGTTACCGCCGTAATATCTCGCACCTGGGTATCCCTCTGAGTACTTGTCTTTGGCAATTGGTTAGCATTGTTCCGGTAATTGCGGGGGGGGTTCAACTAACTTTGCATCACACTTCCAAGGGCATCAAGAACGGCTTGCGACGTGAAGTTCTCCGACGGAATGAGGTTGATAAAGTGCTTCTGGCGACGTTTTTCCTACAGCAGAGTTAGGAGCAGTTTTCCCCGATTGCACGATGGTATCGCTCACCTTCTGCAGGATCTCATAAACTTGGGGATCGCCATGTTCGAGGTCGAGCGTTAGAAGCTGCAATTGAGTAGCGGAAGTCAGTGGAAGTCCCTCAGATTCGCTAGATTTTTGTACTTTCTGCTGGCCTTCTGCGGACCTCGAGGACTGTGCTCTCCGTGCAAATGCTACTGAAGCAGATGCAGTTCGAGGGAACGGCCTGGAGGCCACAGCACCCAAACGAGACGCGAGTTTCAACGACATCGCAATTCTGGAGAAACGTGTTTAGTCTCTGTCGAATTCGTTAATAGGGTGTGCCGTCTTACCTCAGAAGGCCGATATAGGTGCCTCTTTTTCAGTGCTTCTGTATTTATATATACATATATTATTGGGCGGTTTCTTGTGCTGAAGCCTTTCGGAATCGGAAGTCCATGCCCGTACTAGATAAGCTCGGTAGGGTAATGTGACGCATTCAAATATTTCCCCTGCGCGCAAATCTTGGCTTGTCACTCTACCCCCCAATTGGCAGGAACTTGGCTCTACAAACTCTTACAATCGTCCATGAAATGGCTACAGAGCTACACAGGCAGGTCCAGCTCACGCCAATTATAGAATATTAACAGCAATTTGGCAAAGTCGTTATTGCAACCTCAAATTGCATTTCTACCATGTATTGATGCAAACCCTCAACAAGCTATGAGACTTTCTTATTCGCATTCATCGTAAACTCAACTAGATCTTTGATCCAATAACACTTCCGCCGTCCAGCGTGATGGTTGCTCCATTGACATAAGAACCAGCCCTGCTACTCAAGAACAGGCAAGTCCCAGCCACATCCTCGGGGCTTCCAATCCTGTTAAGCGGGATTCCGGCCTTGATATTTTCGCCAAAGTCCTTCAAGGTCTGCGCCATCATTTTGCTTTCAAATGGCCCGCATGCAATGACATTGCTTGTAATGTGTCTCTTTCCAAGGTGGTTGGCCAGGACCCTGGAGAGATGGTGCAGACCAGCCTTTGAAGAGCTGTATGCAAAGGTCTCGAGGGTCGGCACACGCAGGCCGTCGACGGACCCGATGTTGATGATGCGAGAGGGAGAGTCCTGGCCAGCCTTTGCCTCCAGGCTCGGTGTGAGGAGTTGGGTAATTGTGAAGACGCGGTGAAGGTTGAGGGTAAGAACACGGGTCCATGCGGCGTCAGGGTACTCGTCGAACGAAGCTCCCCAGTTAGAGCCAGAGTTATTCACCAAGATATCTAAATGATCCTCACGCTTCTTGAATTCTTCGGCGAGGCGCTTGCAGTCTTCCAGCTTGTAGAAATCGGCGGGGATAGCATGGGCAGACCCAGGACCTTGATGGTGAGAGATGTTAGCAAATGACGCATGTGATGGAGCATTGCTTACCCAGCGCATTCAGTTCAGTGCAAGCCTTGTCGCACGCCTTTGCGTCTCTAGAGGAGATGTACACTTTGGCTCCGTTGGCAACATAGCCCTCGGAGATCATACGCCCAATGCCTTTAGCACCACCGGTGACGAGAACAACCTTGCCCTGTATTTGGATTCAGCCTTCAATTCTGTAGGGTCATTTGAGACACCCAAGTAGCTTACCGTGACGTCGAAAAGAGTAGAACGATCCATCTTTAATATATTTCCAACTTCTGCTGCAAAGATATACACAATTAAAGATATTTGTAGAAGTAAATGGAAGAGTAATTGAATGTTGCGTTCCCCTCCGGACCTAATTAATCAAATCTATGCCTCGGCCCGTGGGCGAGTTTGCTATGTTTGACCACCTACGTAAGTATTGATTAATAACCAACGGGAGTGATGATGATGAACTCCCGTGGCGGGGTACTGATTCTGGCCTTCCAAACTTACTAATGTGATATTTATTAGAAAAGATATAAACTCGTTAGTTAGCTAAAAGGCACCTTCTCCTCCACACACACAAACCAGTGAAGGTTGAAGCACCCTTTTCAAGACTCCCCAACCACACACATAAGACGTCACAATGGCCAACACAGAGGCTCGAGAGCGCCTCCGCCAACACTTTTTAAATGCACAGGAATCAGACCACCCTATTAAATGGGATGAGCTCTACCGTGAAGGCTTCATCCCCTGGGACAAAGGCCTCCCTTCCGCACCCCTCGCTGAGGCTCTGGCGCGGCGCGATCTGATCAGTGAGCCTCCGGTTGCTGTATCTGGCACAGGAAAGCAACGCAAGCGAGCTCTTGTGCCGGGTTGTGGCAAGGGCTACGACGTGCAACTTCTTGCTGCGTTTGGATATGATACCTACGGGCTCGAGACGAGCGAACTGGCACTGAAAGGAGCGAGGGAGACAGAGGAGAAGCACGGTGGTGACGAGGTGTATCGAGTGAGGAACGAGGAGGTCGGAAAGGGGAAGGTTACGTGGATTACTGGGGACTTCTTCAAGGATGATTGGGCAAAAAGTCTGGGGGAGGGGTTCGATGGTACTTTCGATGTGCTGTTCGATTATACCGTATGTTCTAGATCCAAGGTGATATCTCCAAAGCTAATAGCTAATCTCATCTAATAGTTCCTAAGCGCGCTCCCGCCTACTCTGAGGGCAGCTTGGTCACTCCGATATAGCCAACTGCTGGCGCCTACCGGCCGCCTCATCTGCCTCGAGTTTCCAACCTATAAACCTATCAACTCGGGAGGTCCGCCATGGGCTCTTCCCCCGAGTGTATATATGGCGCATCTGCCCCGTCCAGGGAAGACGCTAGAATATGATGATCAAGGCGGGATCGTTGAATCCAAGCTGGGCGAACCGCTTAGCGACGGCCTCGTGAGGGTAGCGCACTTCCAGCCACAGAAGACTCATGCGGATGGGTACGATGCGGACGGTAACATGACGGATTGGGTTGGTGTCTGGGCACACCCTATACTCGAATCATAAATTCGTCCATCTGTAGCAATTACGACACCATTCAAGGTGCCTTCCGAAGCGAGTTATAGTGCTCGCCCAATCCGTATCCGTGGTGATAGTATGCCAGCCATATCTTCTCAACCTCTTCTTCCGTCTCTTCTGGGGAGAACTTGTCCAGCCTGCCATCTTGTAGAACGCAAATCTCGACATTGTAGCTCTTCGCAAGCGCAATCAGCTCGACTTGTCCACCCCACTCTGCGGAATTTTCTATTTTCTGTACGTATGCCGGAAGCGGTTCCTCTAAGAACGCCTCAAACTCGTCGGGGTGGCCTTTAATGTATTTCGCCGCGGTCCTCCTGACTGCCTTGTATCTGAATGCTTCCGTCTTCTCGGCGTCGTTCTTTGTCCTGAGATCTATGCCAGCTTGGTCGAGCTGATCCGCGACGGACGAAAATAGACAGTGGCCATCTGGTCGGATCTCTTTTTCGTCCAGCTTGTGGGTTTTGAACGCCTTCAGCATGGCGGTCCGTTCTTGGCGTTTCCAGTTCGGGAGTTTCGCGGCTTCCTCTTCGGTTTTGATGGCCTCTGCTTCTTGCTCTGCGGCGCGGCGGGCTAGACGCTCTTTTTGGCGGTTGCGTTTGGGCTGAGCCTCTTCTGAAGGTGCAGGGTCGGAAATGGCAGTTTTCTGAAGATCCGCGGCGAGGGTCTCGTCCTGGGTAGGCGCAACTCTCGCATCATTCTCTGGTTTGGATTCTACCTCTGGCTCGTCTTCCGGGGCGTCTCCGCACAGTGCAGCGAGCTCAGCTGCCTGAGCCTCTTTCAGCTGCCTTTCAAGCTCTGCGCATTCATCGTTGGCACCTTTACGTGTCTTTTTGGTGGCCTGCTTCTTTTTTTGGGTGATGCGCCCTTGGAGGTCTTTATTTTCTTTGCGGTGTCTCGCCTGGGCTTCCTCCAAAGCGTTCATGGCTTCGTGTAACTGAAAGAAGCTGGCAGATGTTTGCGTCTGCTACCACAAAATTTCGCTGTTACCCCATGAAGTAGCAATGCGTACGCGGGGGGGCGTGTGCGTAGTAGGAATAGTAAGAACCCCTCGATATTGCACAATTGTTTAATCTTCACCGCTAGCGTCTTTTGAGCCTCGGCCTCCCATCATTCGTGGGGGAAACTTCACCCGCTAAAGTTATACGAGTATTTGCGTGCCGTTACTGCCGAAATCTATACCAAATGACGCCAATTCCCAGGATGGATTCCCAATATGTCAAGCTTTTTACGCCGAAGCCCCTAGAGGCTTATGGGTTTAGTTGTAGGCCGGGCGGCTATGAAAGGCCCTCATCCCCCGCTCTCTGGCCATAGATGATCCCAACATTCTCCTCATGTTATTTCCTCGGCCTCGTTCTATTTAACGGACATTTGCACACAAATATACATACGTCCATGTCCATATACATATGCTCCAAGTTTATAATTTTATCTGTGGCAAAACTTTCTCTGCTAGACCAACCAACAGTGTACTTTAAGAGCCCCTCCGGTATCGCCATTGCCTCGGCGTGATATCTGACTGTTATTATGGTAGATGAGCCAAGGTTGGGCAAGACACTCGATGAGACCCAAGACGTAGAAAAGGTGCCTCTGGGCATTGTCTCGGAAGCTGACCACAATGGCGAATGTGGTGCCGTCGGCAATGGGGAGAAAGCAGAGAAAGGCTTGGGTGGCCTCTCAATTTCTCGCCCTTCAACCAGCTCCATAAGTCCGGACCGGGCTGAAGAAACGAAGGAACATACTCGATCCAAATCTCAGTCGGCTTCGGTGCGCTCAAAGGCTGTGACCATAATACCGCGGTCCAGAAGAAGGGGGTTGCTTGGGCATCTTGCTCTTATTCCCGAAGTAACACATCCTCCGGAATATAAGAGGAAAACGAAATGGCTCATAACATTCATCGTGGCATTGGCTGCTGCGGTTGCTCCCATGGGGAGCGCTATTGTCTTTCGTAAGTCAATTCACGGCTCTCACCTGTATAATTTGAACCTCCTTAACCCGTACTGATTATTTTTAGCTACCCTGTCAGAGTTGTCAGCAGAGCTCCATGCCTCATCTACGGTCACGAATCTTTCAGTTGCTTTATATATGCTTGCCATGTCTATATTCCCATTATGGTGGTCTTCATTTTCCGAGACGCTGGGTAGACGAACCATATATCTTGTGTCATTTACACTATTTACTTTATTCGCCATTCTTTCTGCGATCAGCACTTCGATTAGTATGCTAATTGTTATGAGAGTCTTATCTGGTGGTGCTGCCGCATCGGTCCAGGCCGTTGGTGCAGGCACCATTGCAGACATTTGGGAAACAAAGGAGAGAGGAAAGGCGATGGGGATTTTCTACCTTGGACCTCTCATGGGCCCTCTACTTGCACCCATCATCGGCGGAGCCCTTGGACAGCGGTTTGGCTGGCGAAGTTCGCAATGGTTTCTTGCCGTCTATGGCGGTTGCCTGATTCTGGTCCTCACTTTCTGTCTCCCGGAAACGCTCCGGAGGACCTTTCCTATCAACGAGTCCGCTTCTGCAAACCCAGAAGCTAGCGGAGACGCCGTCATGCCAGTTGCATCACGCATCACAACTCGCCAGTCAGTCAAAGACCAAACTGTCACCGTCGCCCGCGTTTTAAAGCGGTGCTTTATCGACCCGCTCGTGATTGTTACGTATCTGCGTTTCCCTGCTGTTGCGCTGACAGTCTATTATGCGTCAATCACCTTCGGTTGCCTCTACATCCTCAATATATCACTCCAACAAACCTTCTCGTCGCAGCCATATGGGTTTGGTACCATGATTATCGGCCTCATGTACATCCCTAACTCTTTAGGCTACATCTGTGCAGCTCTCTTCAGCGGGCGCTGGTCTGATATCATCATGGCCCGTGAGGCCAAAGCTGCAGGCCGCTACGACACCGAAGGCCGGCTCATTCTCCTCCCTGAAGACCGTATGTGTGAGAATGCATACATGGCGGCAGCAATGTACCCGCTCGCATTGGTTTTGTACGGCTGGATCGCATGCTATGGGCAGCATTGGATAATCGCTGCCGTAGCAAATTTCTTTTTTGGCATTGGCAGCATGATCATTTTCAGCTGTGCCACGACCATGTTGACAGAGTTCATGTCGAAGAAGAGTAGTAGCGGGGTGGCATTGAATAACTTTGTGAGGAACATATTTAGTTGTGTGGGAGGCATAGTGGCGAGCCCTCTCATAGATACCATTGGAAACGGTTGGCTATTCACTGGTTTGGGTGTTTGGGCACTGGGGAGCGGCTCAGTAGTATGGGCGTTGCGTCGGTTTGGGCCCAAGTGGAGGGATGAGATGGTGAAGATACAAGGGTGAGAGGAGAGAGACCCGAGGGTGAATTTGTAAAGGTCGGCGTCTGGGGTTTATCAAACATATTGGGAAGTCCCGATTTTGGGTATTTGAAGCGGCGTTAATATTATTATTGGCATAGCCGGCATGTCATGTTGGAAACCTTCCAAATTCACAAATCAGTTTTCTTGACCACCTCCTTGCTTCGCTGCCTTTTATATTGATGTTCTAGTCATGTCACATGGATGCGACGAGGTTTGAGGTTTTTGTGCCGAGTGGCAGGTTCGTCTGTGTTGACGGGCTCTATAACAAATCTGGACTTGTCAAGGCCGAGAACCAACGAGATGGCATGGGTTGGTTGTGAAGCGTTACTACCACCTAAGACAAAGTTGGGCTACAAATCTGTGGCATGTCTTATGCGGGTAGGGATAGTACTGAAACAGCTTGATTTCCAATTCTCCGTAGTGGACAATGCCGTGAAACAAAAGGTTCCTTCTATCGAAGACATGTGTGGCTTCGCGGCAAAACAACCACTCCACCTTGCCAGAACGGTGGAAATGTAACCATGCTCGTGGATCCCCCAGGTCAGAATTAACAAAGTAAGTGAATGAATGGGATTTATGATCAACTATATTTCACGACCATTCCCTTTGGATAGTCTTCTTTCACAACTTAGAACATGCAGGGATCAGGTAATCTTCATAGTTCTCGGTTCTAAAACTAGCACTCTTTGTTCTAATTTTATATTCACTACTCCCCACTCATTGTTATTGAGGACAAGGCAAAGACTATTCACCTCACTTCGGCACCATTCTGTCCTTGGCGTCACACATATATACCTTAAGGTATCCGTGAGTCTGCTGCCACTCTCAGTAACTTCTTCACACACCACTATCCTGACGCTCTGATAACTTGAACTTTGGGATATATCTTCATCATGAGCTACGTCCAGTGGCTCTTCGAGGGCTTAGACTACGACCAGAATAAACCTGTGAGTTTGATATCACTTCTTCCCTGTCTATGACTTCATAGATGCTAACTTGCATGAATCAGATCTATATCGATGCGAACAACCCAAATCGCAGCCTCTCCGCTGCCCAAGTCAAGACTTTAGTCCTGAAGATAGGTTCAGGCTTGCAAAAGTTTGGCCTCCAGAAAGGCGACTGTGCTTGTGTGGTCAGCCTCAACGACGTAAGTTTTTTTTTCGTCTCATAATGTCTCATTCTAGAACAATAGAGCTGACCATTCTAGATTTATTACACGCCGACATACCTCGGCATCATCGCCGCCGGAGGAATTTTCACTGGTGTAAATCCAGGATACACAGTTTTCGAGGTGGCACATCACTTGCGTGTCTGCAATGCGAAATTCGTCATCGCCGACTTACAAACCTTGTCCAAGGTTAAGGAAGCAGCTACGGAGGTTGGGATCCCAGAATCCAACATTATTATCTTCGATGTGCACCATGAAGGTGTGCTGTCCGGGGCAACGTCCTTCTGGGACCTCATCGGCGATGATGAGATTACCGTGGTGGACGTAGTCGACTCAGCAAATGTCCCTGCATCATACATCAGCAGTTCTGGCACGTCAGGCCTCCCGAAAGCCGTGGTGATTCCACACGCATACTTGATCAACCAGTGTCAGATCCAGACTGAGAGGAAGATGTCATACGAGGTAAGTGTTTTCTTAGTATTCCAGGGACCAAACTGACTGTGTCCAGGTTAGCAGACTGTGTTGTCTTCCTCCGTTCCCTGCCTACGCCGCCCCGTCCCAGCATGGGATGCCACTGAAGACAGGATCCCCCTGTTACGTTATGCCGCGTTACGATGGAAATTCGGTTTTGGATGCTGTTGAGAAGTATCAAATTACGGAGGTGCTACTTGTTCCACCGATGGTGCTCTCGCTGCCCTTGTTGCCAAAGTGTACGATCTCAGCTGTGGCATCTCTGCGTCAGGTTTTCTGCGGCGGAGCGGCGATTGCATATCATATCCAGGAACAGTTGTATGACATTCTTCATCCGGATGCTCGCATCAACCAGATCTTTGGGATGTCGGAATGCGGCTGGGTTTGTGGATTCCAATATCCAGAGAAAGATGAGACCAGTAGTGTTGGTCGGCCATTTGCGGGGTTCTCCCTCAAGTAAGTCTTATTTATCTCCTTTCCCAATTCAAATTTATAAGCTAACCAAACCCCAGAGTTGTAGATGATGCGGGAAATGACTGCCTTGAGGATGGCCAGGTTGGCGAAATCTACATCAAGCCTCCCTTCCCGATGCTCGGGTACCTCAACAACCCGACGGCCACCGCGGAGGCTTTTGCTCCTGGTGGTTGGACCAGAAGCGGAGATGTCGGATACGTCAAGGATTCTAAGTGGTACGTCCCTGACCGCAAGAAAGATGTCATCAAAGTCAAGGGCTGGCAAGTGAGTCCAACAGAGTTGGAGGGCGTCCTCTTGCTACACGAGGACATCATCGACGCGGGTGTGATTGGCATCCAGGCCGCCAATACATACGACGGTGCTCCCCGCGGCTTTGTTGTTAGGCGCCCAGGAAGCACTATCACTGAAGATGATGCCAAGGTTTGGATGAAGGAGAGGCTTGTGCGGTATAAGCAGGTGGATCGAGTTATTTTTGTTACAGATATCCCACGAAACCCAACGGGGAAGATTCTGAGGCGCCTGTTGCAGGAAGGCAAATACACCGAGGAGGTCCCTGCTGTTGGCGAGCATACTGCTGTGTCGGAGGCCGCTGTTGAGAAAGTCCTTGTCACTGAGAACGGAACCTCGAACTCTGCGGCTATAGACGAGCATGTTGCTGCACCAAAGGCCATTGCTCAGGAGATCCTTGTCACTGAGAACGGGACCTCAAACTCTGCGGCTATAGACGAGCATGTTGCTGCACCAAAGGCCATTGCTCAGGAGGTCCTTGTCGCTGAGAATGGAACCTCGAACTCTGCGCCTATTGAGGGGCAGATTGCTGTACCAGAGGCCATTGTTGAGGAAGCCTTCATCACTGAGAATGGGGTTTCAAGCTCTGCAGATGCCAGCGAGCATATTGCTGCACCAAATGCCATTGTTGTCACTTGGAACGGGAATCCAAAAGTCCTCGTCACTGAGAACGGAAATTCAAGCCCTGCAGCTGTATATGAGTATATTGCTTTGCCAAAGACCGTTTATCAGAAGGTCCTCGTCACTGAGAACGGAAACCCTGGCGCTGCGCCTGTCTATGAGTATTTTGCTGTGCCAGAGACAGTTTATCAGAAGGTCCTCGTCACTGAGAACGGAAACCCTGGCGCTGCGCCTGTCTATGAGTATATTGCTGTGCCAGAGACCGTTTATCAGAAGGTTCTCGTCACGAGGAATGGAAATACTGGCTTTGCGGTTACCGGCGAGCAGATTGCCGCACCAGAGACCGTCGATCATAAGGCCCCCGGCACTAAGAATGGGCTTTCGGGTTCTACGACCGGCTGCAGCCACATCGCTTTATCAGAGGCCGTCGCTCAGAAGCTTCTTTCCACTGAGAACGGAAATGCAAGCCCCGCGGCTGCTTGCGAGCATATTGTTTTACCAGATGTCGTTGTTGAGGAGGTCCCCATCGTTGAGAACAGGATTTCAAGCTCTGTCTTACCCAGCGAAGATCGTGTTGCTGTCCCTTCTTCCTGATTTCGCGGATTTACGGATGATAACTGGGGGTGTGATAGGGCGTGAGTGGGCATCAGGGATTATTTTTGTAGACGAATGATATTTTTTGCTGGGTTGCCTTGAGAGTAGATGCGTTTATTTGCGTTAGACTGCCATTGGGTATTATTATTTGGCTGTTTATTTTAACTACCAAAACATTACCCAAATAACATTTGCAATCGGTCCGCCCCTAGGGTTAGCAATTCGAATATAAACTTGAATACGGAGTACTAGGCTATATTCATATTCATGAATATTTGAATATAGATAGCTCTAACTAAATTAGGTAAGGTAATTACTATAACTACGGCGGAGGTGTTGTTCATAAGTTTTGTGAGTGGGTCGGGCTAGGGCCCCCTGCGTAGGCTGGCTTGGCAATTCTGGCCAAAGTACCGATTCTCATGCGTCACGAATACTTGAGTGTGAGAGCAATCAATTCTGTATAATAATGAGTAGAGTAGATACCTAAACCCCTATATAAAACTATACTATAAGTCTAGTACTCTGTGTGCATACCATTTGCAGCAATTACTGCTGCCATACGTGTAGGCATACTATTAAGGAGAGCATTAAGCTCAGCTTCTCCAACTTGCTCCCATGCTTCCTTGATGTCATACTGACATTCGTTGCACTCAGTTTGCTATCAAACTCGAGAGCAAACTTAGAAATCTCCTCCTCAAACCTACAAGTCACCATACATATCTTGGCTTATCACACCAACAACAGAAACAATACTACTCAACGATTGCTGCAAACTCTTCTACTACATCTGTTTATGCTACATACATCACGGCATATCATTTGGACACTCATTGAACAAGTTATTAAGAAAATCTCCTCCTTAAGGGGGTGGGCCAATACTACCACATGGCATATCTCTACCAACTAGAGGCCTAGGAACATGAACGATAGCTCTAGAAGCTTCTACAACCCTCTATGATTCATTACACGTCATCGCTCCTTAGTTACCCACAAGATTGGTTAAGTTATGACATAATTTGTCTATAGGTACTCTGACCTTGGACCTCCTTTTCACTTCCTATAGGCTAGGAACCCAAGAGATGGTTCTATGGGATTCTCTTACGTTCACTACATGATTAGCAAGCTAGTTGTGGGTCGCACTTGATTTCTAATACATTTACCAAGCCTGGTTAGTCATGGAAAGTCATGGAAAATGAGAGAACTACACTCCTTTGGCATAAATAGGATTGCCCTTTCCTTAAGAAAGGGCAAGCAGGCAATACAGTAAATCGACTAGCACATACTTCTACGTCTTTTCCAAGCTTCCAAGCATTGATCTTGTTATTCTCTGTTTTTGAAAAGTCAGTGAGGTGCTAACCTCTGACTTACCCCTGAGTTCTCAGACTCAACATTTGTTGCAACTTGTCTAAACCACTTCACCACATCATACACCTGATTGCTGCGTTGTGGAATAGTCTAAGCTACAACCCTTTGGCTCTGTTTCCTAAGACAGTGTGTTGTCTTAGTAAATTCATCCCTTCCTTGGGTGGCTAGATTCTCATATCTGGTGCACCCACCATTACACTTGACAGCTACACGGAGCTGGTCGTAGGACATATGTTCTGGATGATTATCTTGTAGATAATTCTTCATAATATGCCACACCCGTTCAATTGGGTTGAGATATGGTGAATACGGGGGCCATTCTATAGGGCAAATACCACAGGATCTCAACTCTTCATATGTTGCACCTGCTCTATGACCTGGAGCTCCATCTTGCATCAATGTAAGGCCTGGGTGTAGGCGTAGCCAGCCGTGGATTAGAGAGACAGTATGAGCCATATAGGACTCAGCTCCTATTTTCCCATATTCCTTCTCCAAAATAGTATAGGACCCTTTCCAAGACCACCTGAGAAGCAGCCCAGAACATCCAACCTCTAGGGATTGTTAGTAAATCCTATAGTAAATAGGAGTCTCTTACCTTCTCTGTTGTACTCTATCTACAACACACATATCATCCCACATTTCCCCTGCTTTTCGAGTAACCCACGTAGGAGTATGGCGGCCTCCCGTTACCCACATCTCGTCAGTCCAAAGTATCCTATTCCAACCATTCCATACCCAATCCTTATGTTCAATAGCCCATGCAAGTCGCTTTTGTCGATTTGTCTCTGAGATAATAGGCTTCCGCATAGCAATCCCTTAATAATTATTAGTCTATATAGTAGTAAAGTAGAGAGGGATACTCACGTCGATTATAGCCTCTCACAGACAGAGCACAGGTTAGGACAAGCCGTGAGCATGGAATATTAAGAATGCATATTATATTTGTATATGGCATACGCCTATTCGTGCGAGATGAGGCTATAAACTCAATAACCTCTTGAACTTGCTCATCAGATAGAATAAGTGGCCTACCCGAACGCTTCTTCGGAGTTGGAGGGCCCTGGCAAGCATACCAAGCCTGCTGTTCCGTGCAGCCAATATAGGCTGCAACTTTTTGGAACTCCCAATCTAGGGAGCGTAGTAGTGTGCAACGAAGCTGCTCATTGCGAGTAAGATGATGTAACACTGACTTCTAAACAATAGAAGACACAGAGGTTTCTTGCGTAAGGTTGACTTGACAGAGGAGGCAGGGGATTAGACACAAAGGCTTTCCAAGTAACACGTTACAGTATTGTAAAGAATACTATATTGAGTTGAGCACGAAGCTCCTATCTAAGGAAATACTATCTACATATATAGTGGCGTCGTGCCAAAGGGATATCCGTGGATAACATGGATAACATAATATCCATGATATCCAATGTTATCCATCACCTGATATTCCGTGGATCCCTGTGGATAACATGGATAACATAATATCCAAGATATCCAATGTTATCCATCACATGACATTCTGTGGATCGCTGTGGATAACATGGATAACATAATATCCATGATATCCAATGTTATCCATCACGTGAGGTTGCAGCCGTAACCGCTAGCCATAGAACTAGCACTTAGCCGTAACACTAGGTCCCCCCCTAATAGGCCTAGTCCCTAGGTCTTGGTGATTAAGTAGTATGCTGACTACTTAGGTAGGGTGGCACCCACCACTTGTAATGGTGGGTGCACCAGATGTGAGAATCTAGCCACCCAAGGAAGGGATGATTTTACTAAGACAACACACTGTCTTAGGAAACAGAGCCAAAGGGTTGTAGCTTAGACTATTCCACAACGCAGCAATCAGGTGTGTGATGTAGTGAAGTGGTTCAGACAAGTTGCAACAAATGTTGAGTCTGGGAACTCAGGGGTAAGTCAGAGGTTAACACCTCACTGACTTTTCAGAAACAAGGAGTAACAAGATGAATGCTTGGAAGCTTGGAAAAGACGTGGAAGTATGTGATAGTCGATTTACTGTATTGTCTGCTTGCCCTTTCTTAAGGAAAGGGCAATCCTATTTATGCTAAAGGAGTGTAGTTCTCTCATTTTCCAAGACTTTCCATGACTAACCAGGCTTGGTAACTGTAGTCGACGTAAGAGAATCCCATAGAACCATCTCTTAGGTTCGTAGCCTATAGGAAGTAAAAGGAGGTCCAAGGTCAGAGTACCCCTATAGACAAATTATGTCATAGACAAATTATGTCATAGACAAATTATGTCATAGACAAATTATGTCATAACTTAACCAATCTTGTGGGTAACTAAAGAGCGATGACATGTAATGAATCATAGAGGTTCGTAGGAGCTTTTAGAGCTATCGTTCATGCTCCTAGGCCTCTAGTTGGTAGAGATATGTCATGTGGTAGTATGAGTGATGTCATGTAATGAATCATAGAGGGTTGTAGAGATATGCTATGTGGTAATATCGGCCCAGTAACTAAGGAGCGATGACGTGTAATGAATCATAGATGGTTGTAGCAATCGTTGAGTAGTATTGCTCTTGTTGTTGGTGTGATAAGCCAAAATATGTATAGTGACTTGTAGGTTTGAGGAGGAGATTTCCAAGTTTGCTCTTGACTTTGATAGCAAACTGAGTGCAACGAATGTCAGTATGACATGATACCCCTCTTAAGGACGTTTGTTAGCTGTGTGCTTGCCCTTTAGCCAGGTGGCTTTCTTAGAAAAAAATTCTAGAATCAGCTTGGATGCATTTTTTAGATTTCTCTTAGGTTCCCAAGTGTTGTCACTTGTAGGATAGCCTTTCCACTTAACGAGGAAGTAGTCCTGACCTCTAAGTGTCTTTTTGTCAAGGATAGACTCTACTTCATATTCTGGTTGATCCAAAATCAGAACAGGAGGTGGAGGAGACTGAAGTGGTCTTAAGGAACTTTCTTGTGCCTTAGACAAGAGAGATGCATGGAAGACATTATGGATAGTCCAAGTAGGTGGTAATGCAAGCTCGAAAGCATTCTTGCCAATAGTCCTTGTGATCTTAAAGGGTCCAAGTCTTTTAGTATCAAGTTTGTCTGATGGTCTAGTAGTTGTGATATGTCTTCTAGACAAAAAGACTTGATCACCAACTTTGAATTGTGGTGCAACCACCCCCCTGTTAAAGGCCTGAGCCTGCTCGTCTTGTGCACGCTGTATTTGGACCTTGAGATAGTCCTGGAGGCCCTTAAGGTAGATGATTCTTTCAGTAGCAGAAGGGTTTTTGAGATTTTCAGGACAATTAAGTTCTGCCACTTCAAACCTAGGGTGATAACCATAGTTTGCATAGAAAGGTGTCTCTTTTGTGGTGTTAGAGACCGTGTTGTTGTAAGCAAATTCTGCAAGATGGAGAAGATCTGCCCAGTTGTCTTGAGCATAGTTTGTATAAATTCTTAGATATTGTTCAAGTACAGAGTTGACTCTCTCTGTCTGGCCATCTGTTTGAGGGTGATAAGCTGTAGAAAAGCGTTGTTCCATGTTTAAGAGTCTAGAGAACTCCTTAAAAAAGTTTGAAGTGAAAACTGCTCCCCTATCTGAGATCCAGTGTCCAGGAATTCCATGATATTTAAAGACCACCTTGAGGAATAGCCACGCAAGTTCAGAAGCTGTGATAGTCTCATTGCAAGGCTCAAAGTGTGCCATTTTTGTGAGCCTTTCTACCACCACAAGGATAGAGTCATAAGGGGTAGCACCCCCTTTTG